ATCATCATCATCATCAATATCACACTCATCAGCATCAACATCATCATCATCATCATCGTCATCGTCATCATCATCACCGTCATCGTAACCATTCCGTATCATCATCAGGATCATCAGCATCAGCATCATCATCATCATCATCATCATCATCGTCTCCCCCTTCATGATCACTATCTTCATCAGCATCATCATCGTCACCATCGCCATCATCATCACCATCCTCGTCGTCATCGTCATCACCATCATCCTCATCACCATCAGCGACAACATCATCATCGTTATCGTCATCATCATCATCGCCACCGTTATTCATCATCCTCATCATCATCTTCATAATCACCAGCATCGTTGCCAGCATCATCATAACTACCACCACCAAGACCACCACCATCACCATCATCACCATCATAATCAGAATCACCGTCAGCATCATTATTACCCTCATCCTCATGCTCCTCAGCATCAGAATCAGCATCGTCATCATCATCATCATCAGTATTCATCATCCTCATCTGCCTCATCATCATCTTCGCCCTCATCATCATCGTCACCATCATCATGAGTTTCTTCTGCTTCATCATCATGCCCATCGTGATCATCATCACCACCACCACCACCATCATCATCGGCATCATCAGAATCATCATCACAATCATCATCGTCGTCACCATCGTCCTCGATACCACCAAGACCACCACCACTTTCAGCAGCATTATCATCACCACCACCACCGGCCCCATCATCAATAACAGCATCATCATCATCATCAGCAACATCATCATCAGCATCATCATCAATGTTGTCATCATCATCAGCATCATCGCCAGTATCATCATAACCACCATCACAACCATTTGCACCACGATCCGCATCCTGATCATCATCACCACCACCACCACAACCATCATCATCATCATCATCAGCATCATCATCACCATCGTCAGCATCATCATCATCAGCGGCATCATCATCAATTTCATCATCATCAACGTCGTCATCATCAGCAGCAGCATCATCCCCGCCACTACCATCCCTTCCCCCTATCATCATCACCATCATCGCCGTCGTCTCATCGATATCATCGTGATCATCATCATCATCATCAACATAATCGTCGTTACCGTCAACGTCACCGTCACTGTCAACGTCACCGTCTCCATCACCGTCGTCATCATACTCACACCCCTGTTCATCCTCCTCATCATCCTGTGTCCTCCATCCCCTCTTCAACCCCCTCCTCCCTCTCCCTTCACCTCCTCCGCCTCCTCATCCAGCTCCACCTCCACCTCCACCTCCTCCTCATCCTCAGCCTCCTCCTCCACCTACGCCTCCGCCTCCTCCTCCTCTTCGGACGAAGGCGATGCCGACGACGACGACGACGACGACGACGACGACGACGACGACTGCCACGAAGACCTCGGCGGCGACGGCGAGCGCGCGGCCGAAATCCAATCATAAGCAGTCCGCGGAACCCTCTCAGGCTCCAACCCATGCAGCTTTTCACCCCGTATCGATTTCTGACGGTCCCTGGGCCCGTAACGGGCTCTCAGTGGCCGAAAACTACCAAAAACTTCTCCGAACCTCGAACACCGATCGATCGATCGATCGATCGAGCACGGCGACGGCGACGGCGAGACGACCGACGCGCTGCCTGGGAAGCGCCCCGCCAGGCACAACGCCGAGGGCCAGGCCCACGCCGCCACCGCGGCGCCTGCCAGCAGCAGCCGGCGGCCGAGAGGGGGGAAGAGGACAGGGGAAGAGGGAGACAGGAGGAGGCAGGAGGGAAGAAGAAGAAGAAGAAGAAGCAGGAGGCCCCAGGAGGCAGGAGGCCGGAGGGGGAGGAGGAGGAGGAGGAGGAGGAGGAGGAGGAGGAGGAGGATGGAGGAGGAGGAGGAGGAGGAGGAGGAGGAGGAGGAGGAGGAGGAGGGGAGGAGGAGGGAGGAGGGGAGGGAGGGGAGGGGAGGGAGGGAGGGAGGGAGGAGGGAGGGAGGGAGGGAGGGAGGGAGGGAGGGAGGAGGAGGGGGAGGGAGGAGGAGAGGCGGAGGGGGGGGGAGGAGGGGGAGGGGGCGGAGGGGAGGAGGGGAAAGAGAGGAGAGAGGGAGAGGAGCGACGTGGCCAGGAGGCAGCGGGGCAGAGCGCCTCGAGTGCTGCGGGGCGGCCCCGAGCGGAGCCTGGAACAGGGCAACGAACAATGAACAGAAAAACTCGGAGATCCGCGCGAATTTCTCGGATCGGCGCTGGACCCCTCTTGGCGGCGCCTCCGGCGCCGCCGCTGGCGCGCTCCGCGCGCCAGGGAGGGGGGTCCAGCGCGGATCCGAGAAATCAGTGCGGACCTCCAGGCTTTTACGTTCATGTCATGTTTCGCTCCCCCTATGGTTGTGGATGCCAATGTTCTTCCTCTCCATTGATCGACATCCACAACCCTATGGAACGGCCCGTCGTGCCGTCGGGCGCTGCGCCCGCTCAACGTCGATCTCTCAACGCTCACTTGCGCCTGCGCCGAGGTGTCTCTCCTGGGTCACGCAGGGCCTCGCCTAGCCCCGAAGGCCTCGGGGGCGCGTCGCCCTGCGCCGCCGAGCTCGGCCTGGTTCTCCCCGCCCGTGACGCCCGCCCTCGGCCGGCGAGCCCGTCAGGCCACAGCGGGCCGCCGCGGGCCGAGCCGGTCGGCCTCTCTCTCTCTCTCTCTCTCTTTCTGTCTCTGTCTCCGTCTCTGTCTCTGTCTCTCTCCCTCTCCCTCTCCCTCTCCCTCTCTCTCCCTCTCTCTCTCTCTCTTTCTCTCTGTCTTTCTCCTCTCTCTCTCTCTTTCTGCTCCATCTCTCTCTGTCTCTCTGTCTCTCTCTGTCTCTCTCTGTCTCTCTCTCCCTCTCTCCCTCTCTCCCCCCCCCTTCAGCCAGCCGCTCGGCCGCTCGCAAGCGCCCCGACTTGCCGCCCAAAGCCTGGCGGGGGGAAGAAGTCGCTCACCTCCTCCGGGAAGTCCACCTCTGCAGCCAGCAGCCTCTTGCCCGACCCAAACACTCGATCGCCATCACCGCGCGACCGGCTGCAAGGGGCGCACTCCAGCTTGCCCGGCATGGCCCCCCTCTCTCGCACAGCGGACACTGCCGCCCTCACCTCGCCGCCGCCACCCCCACCGACTTTCCAGCGAGGCGGCACACCGAGCGACCTGCATTCTCGAGGGACTTGACCATCTCGAGCTGGCCCGAGTTCAGCCCAGCGCCCGCGCGCCCGCGAGGCGGGCAGCAGGCCGCGACACCCAGCGCTGGGCGCGAGAGGACCAGCACGCGCAGGATCACCCACTGCCGAACCGCCCGGCTGTCGCGGCCCCGCTGCGCACGCCGTCGGGGTCAAGAAGACCAGATCACTATCGGCCAGGGGCAAGGCGGCGGGCACCGAAGTGGACGACGCCCGCGCACTCGCCATGCACCCTGCCAGCGGCAGACGTGCCCGACGAATTTGCGCTAGCCAGTGACGGGGCAGGTGGACGCAGAACTGCCAGCCCACTCCTTCCCCCCGTCGTGCATTTAGTAATTGGCATCCTTGCCCTGAGGCTTTCCACGGTGCCCCCGAAACTCCATTAGATAGCCGTCGTCCTCCTGCTCCGCGATGACGGCCGCCGCCCCCACCTTGTCCACCACGCGCGCCCGGCTGCGCCCCATGCGGAGCTGGCCCTGGTTCTGGCGCGACCACCCGGCCCAGTTGGGCGTCTCCAGCCCAGCGGGCCGCCAGGCCGTCTGCCAGTTCTCACCTTGGGAGAACTGCTCCGCCGCGCTGGTCCCCAGCAAGGTCCGCACTCGCGCCCGCTCGAACTTCTTCGAGCACATCGCGCCATGGACGCGGGCCAGCAGCGTCAGCGTGCACCCCAGGGTGCGCTGGTTGCCCACAGGCACGATCTCGCTCACGCACATTAAGGCCTGCAGCGAGTCCCCACGGCATCAACCTCCAGCGCCTTCAAGATGTTCTCCTCTATCCGCGCCGCGAAAGCTTCCGGATCTTTCCTCATGGGCAGCCGCCCCACTTGCGCCGAGCCCTTCGCGCCCGGCATCGTCGTGGTCTTTTCGTCCTCCTCGGAGTCCTCCTCGTCGCACCGTCAACGAAGTCGCCGATCCCTGCGATGCGCTTGTTTTGGCCTTCCCCCTCAAGCGGCGCTCCTCCTGCGCCCGATGGAGCTCCCGCCGAACCCACGCGGCGCGGCAAATGCCCTGTCAGCCCGGGCTCGAGATCCGCTCCAAACCGACGCGGAGGGCTGCCCACCAGAGTTCCGCTAGCGTCGGCGCGGCCCCGCGGCTCTCCAGCGACGCCACGCGGCCGCCGAGCGCGTGGAGCTCCCTCAGTACCTCCTGCATGGAATCCCCGCCGCCAGCGCTCACTGTGGTTCCGCCGCCGCCGCTCGCCACCGCGACCACATCTGCCTCATCGACCTCGAAGGCGGCCGACAGCACCGCGACGTGGCCCTCGCCGTCCGAACCCACCCACTCCCCGTCGCCACCGCGTTCCACTGCGGCACCGCCAGGCGGTTCGGGCCGCAGTAGGTCACGTCGTCCTGGCCGTCCTCCATCACGACGCCCTCGTATGCAAACAAGCTGCGCTCCCTCGGGCGGGACCTGGACACCTCCACGTCTACACGCTGCACGGTGGCCATGTCCTCCTCGTCCGGGCCGCCCTCGGCCACCCCCGCCTGGACCTCGGTGGTGGGTCCGAAGACCTCGACAGAGGACCCCGCTTTCTGGCAACGCGCCTGGCGGGACAGCCACCATGACACCGCCCCTCCTCCTCCTCCTCCTCCTCCTCCCTCCTCCTCCATGACACCGCCCCCTCCACCCCTCCTCCTCCTCCCTCCCTCCTCCTCCCTCCCCCCTCCCTCTCCTCCCTCCCTCCCTCCCTCCCTCCCTCCCCTCCCTCCCCCCCCCCCTCTCCCTCCATCCTCCTCCTCCTCCACCTCCTCCTCCTCCTCCTCCTCCCCTCCTCCCCTCCTCCTCCTCCTCCTCCACCTCCCTCCTCCTCCTCCTCCTCCTCCCCTCCTCCTCCACCTCCTCCTCCTCTCCTCCTCCTCCTCATACCCTCCTCTCCTCCTCCTCCTGCCTCCTCCTCTCCTCCTCCTACCTCCTCCCTCTCACCTCCTCCTCCTCCTCCTCCTCCTCCTCCTCCTCCTCCTCCTCCTCCTCCTCCTCTCCTACTCTCCTCCTCCTCCTCCCCTCCTCCTCCTCCTCCTCCTCCTCCTCCTCCTCCTCATGACGAGCACAGCGAAGTGCGGCGCCAAAGGCGCCACGTGCAGCACGAGCCAGTCCAGGTCGCCATCGGCCACCGCCGTCACCCTGGCCAGCTGCACACTGGTCAGCGCGGAGTTCATGGCCATGACTTTGGGTCCGTTGGCTCTTCACCTCATTGTGAGATGTAGCTGGCGAGCCGGTGCAGGCCCGCCGCCGTCTGCGGCCGCGCCAGCTGCCGCGCGACCCAACCCCCCGCCTTGGCCACGGTTTCCGCGCCGTGCGGGTTGAGTGAAAGGCCGAACGCGAGCCTGGCGCCGCACCCGAGGCACGCTGCCAGCGCCGCGGTCACCAGAACCAGCGCCGCCACGGCCAGCAGCTCCGCTCACCCACGACGACTGAACTGCTGCGCCGCAAACTGCGCGGCCAGCGCGAGGGAGCTCCCGAGACTGCTCGGGGCGGGGAGCACAGACCACACCATGCAATGAAACCAGAATGGGCCCACGCACAAAAAAAAAATAGATGACATCCATCTCGTCCTTCCTCCTCCCGATTCGTTATCGTCCCTGTCCTCGCCCGTCGCTCTCGCCCTTGTCGTTGCCGCCCTCGCCGCTGCCGCCCCCGACGCGCGCGGGGCGCGCGCCCAGCACGCCGCCGGACAGCGCCAGGCGGCCGCGCAGCACCGCCTGGCTGGCCTGGGCTTGCGAGGTGGCGCCGAGGGGAAGGGCGACGAACGACGGCAACGGACGACGACGACGACGACGACGACGACGACGACGCCGACAACGACGACGACGACGACGACGACGACGACGACGACAACGATGGCGGCGGCGACATCGACGACGACGACGACGACGACGACGACGACGATGACGACGACGACGACGACGACGACGACGACGATGGCGGCGGCGACAGCAACAACGACAACGACGAGCCGACGAGAGCCTCCGAAAACCTCCGACCTCGACGTCGCCCCCTCGAACCTCCAACTGTCCGCCCGCATTCGGTAGAAGAAGGAAAAAACGCCATAAACATAAACCTTTGGCGCTCCGCGCGGATTCCTTAGATCTGCGCCGGACCCACTCCCCGGCGCGCGGAGCGCGCCAGGGGTGGCGCTGGAGGCGCCGCCAGGGGGGGCCCTGCGCCGATCCACGAAATCCGCGCGGAGCGCTAACGGTTTGTGTTTATGGCGTTCCCTCTTCTTCGACTCGGAGGCCCTTCGGCGGCCCGCGGCGGTCTGCGCCGGTCCGAGGCGGTCTGCGGCGGCGCCTCGGCGGTCCCTCGGCGGCCTTCGAGGCGCGGAAGCCGGGAGGCGGGCGTGAGCACAGAGAGCGCCCAGGCTGGGCCTGGCCGGAGCCAGCGCGCGCGGATGGCTGGCCGACGCCAGGAGTCCTCCTCCTCCTCCTCCTCCTCCTCCTCCTCCTCCTCCTCCTCCTCCTCCTCCCCCTCCTCATCCTCCTCCTCCTCCTTCTCCTCCTCCTCCTCGCCTGAGGGTGTTGGATTAAATGCCCCCATGCCTGGGGGGTGAACGCTTGGCTCCCTGGCGCTGCGTTTCAGCTCTGCTGGCAGGTAGCATGCCGCAACTGCTTGACTCGAGAATCACTTGCACAACACAGTGTTGAAGGTCACCTCCTCGTGCGCCATGATTGGGCACAGTCCTCCTCGGCATCTTGCACGGCAACGGGGCGAGGTGCAACGGGAAATGCTGGAGGCGTCAACATTCCAGTCGGCCGCGCGGAGTGGCTCCAGGCGGGCCTCGAACAATGATTCGACTCACACTGGGGTCCCATCCTGCTTCTGGCGCTGTCTGTGCCGCGGCCTCGTCCTTGCTCCCGAAGGTGTCGGCGGGCGCGGCCGCTCCACGGCGCTCCAGAGCGCACTATCAAAATCAGGTACGAACAACTTGTGTGATCTGAGGGCTGGCGGATCCAGGAAACTACTGGGCACCGCCGCCGTTCTAAATGGCGGACCGGTCTGGCTCGAAAGGTCTCGTCTAGAGAAATGGTCGATGGCTCCACTTGCATATTTCACGACGTCGTAAGTTCTTCAGGAAGTCAGATGCGGGAAGGGTGGTCTAAAGACTTATTGTTTTCCTCTTCCAAAACCACCTTCCCCTCGGGGAGGGGTACCCTCCCCCTCCCCTCCCTGGGGGTTTGTGGTCGGTTCCGCGATGTGTCAGAGGGTCTTTCCTCACCCAAGACGGATCCTGCAGGGCTTCCGATGTTCCACGATGACCTCCAAGATGGCTCAGATTGCGTCCAATATGCCTCCAAGAGGCCCCAAGAGGACCACGAGACGGTTCCAGGTGCTCTCAGAGCCCCCCAGGACCCCCCATGAGGCCATAATCCATCAAAAACCTACTGAAAATCAATGATGTTTGACTTCTCGCCTTTACGCTTCCGATGCGCTTCGGAAGCCTCAAGCTGACCCCAAGATGGCCCAAGAAAGCCACAAGAGGGGCCCAATAGGCCCCCCAGACGGCCCCAGGAGCGCCCAAGAGCGCCCCAAGAGGGCCCCCAAAGGCGAGTTTGAGGGCCACAGGGGGAGGGAGATTATGTGACCCCACCCCTTTGATCGATAGCCTCCAAGATGACCTCAAGAGGCCCTCCAGGGCTCCCAGTAGGGCCAAAAGAAGGCCGCAAGAGAGCTCTAAGAATGCCCCAAGACGGCCACAAGACAGCCGCAAGGGCGCCCAAGAGCGCCCCAAGAGCGTCCCACGAGGGCGCCCCAAGAGGCAGTTTGCCTCCTCCCCCTCCTCCTCCCCTCGCTCCCCCGCGGACCCCAGGGATGGCCCGCAGAGGCCCTCCAGAGTCACCCCCTTGCTAAAAGAGATCTCTCTGTTCATCCTGGTTGCCGCTTCATTCCACTATTCGCGTCTCTTCGTCCCTTTTCTCGTCAGCTCTCGTGGGCAGGGTTGAAGTGCAACAGTGAGAGCGAAAAAAGACTGCGTACATCTTGCAGCCGGGACTGAGCGTAGAACACAAGACAACCGTAATCATCACCACCATCATCACCGTCATCTTGCTCTCCCTCCTCCACAGCGGGAGTGGAGGGGGAGGGGAGGGGGGAGAGGAATCGGCAGCAGAAGCAGGAGTCGCGGAGGAGACGAGGTGTAGGTGGAGAAGAACAACGAGCGACAGTCATCCTGATGTGATACCAGTTGTGAGGAAAAGCACCCGCAAGAGGAGCAGGAGGGGAGGAGGGAGTAGAAGAAGAAAGCAGAGGCGGAGGAGGGGCAAAACGGGTGGCACTATGAGAGGCAGAAGCACGAGGACGACGATGACGAAGACCACGGGAACCAAGACGGTGACGGTGACGGAGACGGAGACGGAGACGGAGACTCAGACGCAAACGACGACAGAAAAAACGAAAATGAAGACGAAAACGACGACAAAAAACGATGACAAGGGCGACGGCGGCGACAACGGCGACTACGCCCACGACGACGCCCGCGACGACGACGCCGAAGCGCCGCCGATGGGGTCGCCGAGGGGCCGCCACAGGGGCGCCGCAGGGCGGCGGCGGCGGCGGCGGCGGGCGCGCCCACGCGGAGGCGGGCAGCAGGCACGGCAGCCCCGCGAGGGCGACGAGGCCGCCGAGGAGCAGCGCCTCGCCGCCGCCGCCGCCGCCCTCGCCGCCGCCGCCGCCGCCGCCAAAGCCTTCGCCGCCTGCGCTGCCGCCGCCGCCGCCGCTCGAGGCTCGGGACGAGGTCCTCCGCGACACGCTCGGCCTCTGGAGGCCCGCTGCGGGCCCCCTGGAGGCCGCCAAGCACCCGAGGGACGGCTCCCAGGAAGGGCCCAGCACGGCGCCTGGGAGGGTCTCGGGACGGCCCCCCGGGAGTGCCCGGGGAACCGAACTTGAGCTGATTTCGGCCCCACGCTCGTCGTCGCCGCCGCCGTCGCCGCCACCGCCTCCGTCGCCGAGGGAGGGGAAAGGGAAAGGGGGGAGGACGAGGGGAGGGAAGGGGGCAGGAGTCAAGGGGGGAGGGAGGGGTAGCGGAAAAAGGGGAAGAGCAGGAGGAGGACTGGGCTGGGCTGGACTAAACCCAAGATGCCTCAACGATGTTGCAACACACGCTCCCATCCCAAGCCCCCCTTCAGGAGCCCCTGCAATCTACTCATTATTTTTTCCCTGCAATTAGCGCCGCTTTGAAGCCAAAGGAGGAGGAGGAGGAGGAGGAGGAAGAGGAGGACTGGACTAAACCCTAGGCGCCTCAACGATGCTGCAATGCAACATCCCGTCCCAAGTTCTCCCATCAAGAGTTCCTACAATCATTCCATTTCACTGTTAGCACCCCTTCTCACTATAATATGCGCACACATGGGCCTGATGTTCAAGCACATGTGGGCCTGCCTTGCATCCTTCTAGCGGAAGCAGGTTTCGAAAAGGCATGGTCATACATATCAACGAGGTCTGAAGGGAAATCACCGCTTTGGAAAATGGCCACCAAACCATGTGCAAGTGTTGCACAAAAATGATACGGATGGCCATGAAATTCGTGGAAGTCTCAAGCGATGACCATTTCGAAAATGAACCGCCCTTCATCCGTGCACCTGTTACAACTCTTCTGGTCTGTATCTTAAACGCGTCTCCAGCGAGAGCCTCCGTCGAAAAAGAACCGTCCTCCATCCCTGTAACAACTGCAAACGCTTAAGACGAATGACCCTGACGCCAAGGCGAGAGCACCATGTTGAAAAGGAGCAGCCCTCCATCCTCGTAGCACCTGCACATGTTGAAACGAATGTGCGCGGCGATAAAGCGAAAGCCCATTTTTTAACCACCACCTCCATCCGTGTAACTGTTGCAAGGTTCAAGCTTCGAATCCAAATTCAAATTCAGAAGCAGGTTGACTCCGAAAGTCTGCAAGCTACACTATTGTGCGCATGCTCCGCTACTCTCTACACTACACGGCCGCGTTGAAGCCGACCGCACCTTGTCGGAGAAGAATTCGAACAAATGTCTCAAGTGTGAGCGGGAGGCACGCCATCCTGAGTCCCCTTACAAAACATCCGTTTCATAAGCATTCAGGATCGCACAGGGTGAGGAAGCCTCAGGCGAGCGCTCCCCAGAGACCCGGACACCCGGACGCTCCGAGGGGCCGCAGCTTCCCTCCCGAGCCTCTGGCCGCGCCAGCAGCCCAGAAGTGCGTGCCGCGCGCCGCCCCGCCCGCCCCGCGTGCGCGACCCTTGCGCGCGCGCGCCGGGTGGAGGGGGGAGAGCCTCCCGCCCGCCCGACCGGCACGTCTGGGACTGCGGCACGGAGGACGTATCCATAAGGGAGACGGACGTGGAAGAGGGGGAGCAGCAGCAGCAGCAGCAGCAGAACGCCTGCTGGGCGGGCGAAGGAGGGGAAGAGGAGAAGGGGAAGGAGGGGGGAGGCAGAGGAGGAGAAGCAGGACGAGCAGGGAGGACAGGGAGGAAGAGGAGGAGGGAGGAGGAAAGATGGGAAAAAGTTAAGTGTGGGGAAGAAGGGCAGGGAGGAGGAAGGGTGGAGAGAGCAGGGAGGAGGGAGAGGATAAGGAGGAGGACGAGGAGGGGCCCATCATCAACTGATCATCCCTGCTGCCGCCGCCATCATCATTGTCATCGTCGTCATCACCACTTCCACCACCGCAATTGCCAGTTGCTAACCACCATCCACACGGTGCGTCCCACACACCCGAGACTTCGCCGACCGTCGGCGCGTGTGTGGGGGAGTTCTGTGCCCGTCGCCTGGGGGAGGGGAGAAAGGCGGAGGTCATGGGAGACGCTCTTTGAGTCGAAACTTGCCCCCCCGTTCCAGCAGCAACCTTTGGCATTCCAGCCTCGCCAAACCGAGGTAAATCGAGCCACGTCGTAAACGAACCGAGGGGAAGCCGCCCCTTTCCCGTTGATCCCTTCCCCGTCGAGGGGGGGAGACTCCCTCCCTCCCTCACTCCTCCCTGGGAGAAGCGTTCCCTCTCCTTTTCGGGAGAAAGTCTGGCCATTTGGGCCCTCTTTCGGCCAACTTGGGCCCAAGGCGCCCAAGATCGCCCCAAGACGGCTCAAGAGGCCTCCAAGACGGCCCCGAGAGGCTCAAGGGGCCCCCCGAAAGGGCCCCAAGACGGCCCAACAGGTCCCCAGAGACTCCCAAGCCAGCCCAAGAAGGGGTCCCAGAGGGGGAGCACGAACTGTCATTTCGAGCCCTCCGAGCCAAGATGACCTCCGAGAACGCCAGCAGCCCCAAGAGGCCCCCTGGAGGCCCCCAAGAGGCTTCCGAGAGGCACCCCAAAAGACCCTTACGTGCACTCAATAAGCCTCTGGTCCACCACGCACAGTGGCGAGATGGACAGAAGGTCACCAGACATAGGCAGCACGGTGTTCTGTCGGAGAAACGTAGACTCGGGTACGGGGGACTCGGGTTGGCCTGACGGGGCCATGATAACAACGACGAGACGACCCAATCTGAAACTTGACGCCAGCTCCCGCTGCAAACGTTCCACGAAAGCTGGGCCGCCAGAATCCAGAACGCGCTCGTCGGAAGACGTCACCAAGCCAAAGTTCCGGCTTGCTCGAGTCTTGCCTTTCAATTCCCCGAGGCTGTCGATGCTCCCATCCTTGGGGGTGCCCTCCGAGCCGCGCACGGGGAGAGTCGCCTGCAGGGCCCGCGTGCGCCCCGCGGCCCTCCCTCGCGGCCCTCCTCCCGGGGCCTCCTCGGTCCCCCACTCGAGGTCGGCGGAGCCAGCCGCAAGGCCTCTGCAGTTGAGGGCGCCTTGGGACACAAACACACACACACACACACACCACCACCACCACCACCACCACCACCACCACCACCACCACCACCAACAACAACAACAACAACAACAACACCAACACCAACACCAACACCAACACCAGCAACAACAACAACAACAACAACAACAACAACAACAACAACAACCAACAACAACAACAACAACAACAACAACAACAACAACAACAACAACAACCACAACAACAACCACAACAACAACAACAACCACAACAACAACAACAACAACAACAACAACAACAACAACAACAACAACAACAACAACCACGACAACAACGACAACAACAACAACAACCACAACCACAACAACAACAACAACAACAACAACAACAACAACAACAACAACAACAACAACAACAACCACAACCACAACAACCACAACAACAACCACAACAACAACAACGACAACAACAAAAGCAGGCACCAGCCAAGCCCAGGGTTCACTATACGTTGCCATATGTTCTGGATGTCCGTCTTCCCCTCCACTGCCTAGTAGCTCCCCATATTGTCCTGAGAATC